GCCGTGGGGAACAGTTCTGTGTCAAAATGTCAAGATCAGTCCTGATATACATCAGTGGTCCCGGGCCACCGCTTTGGAGCAGACCAATAACATCTGACAAACTGACATAGAAGCAACTGGGGGCCGGACCGGCCGGGGGCCGGAAGAGCAAACAAGGCCTCAAAGAGGGTGTGATGACATGGTGATCAGTTTTAGGAGTTAAATGTGTATTGGTGTTGAGTTATGTTTGAGTGCGTTATACTGTGTAACCTGGTTAGGAAAAGACTATCAGCACCATCCCTCGTTATCTCCCATTGTACTGGAACTCGTTCGCAGGGGAAGCCCTGTGGTGTTGAGCAGACCGATTGTCTGGGGAGGGGAGGGGGGATGTGATGGGATTATAATCTGATCTCATCACTTGCTGTATAAAAGTTTGTGCAGTTGCTCAATAAAGCAGAGTTTGTTTCACCTACACTCGTGTCCCGACCAGTGACGAGCTACAGATCAGCGGGTTTCGATATCTCCTGAGCAAGGAAGAAAACAGCGGCGGACATACTCATCCTGAGAACGGGGGTCCGTCACAGAGGGCTTCTAACCTCTTGTACATGAGGGCCTTAACAAGCTGGCACTGCAGTGGCTTAGAGCAGCTTACGAAAACTTACTAGAAAATCTTGCAGAAAAAATTAATCAGTAAAAATCAGCAAAAAGTAAAGTACTGCTTTCAGAGCAGAGAAAGGACATCTATCACCTAGGGACACTAGCAAAAACTGAGGCATGTGGGAGGTGTTATGCAGGGTTGCCCTTCAGCTTTGAATTGCCAGTGCCCAAATTACCAGAAGGTAGCTGCATAACCCAGTAGCCTTAGAATTACCTCCCTGTGATGTAAGATGAAGAAATGTCATTTTTGTTTTATATTTACAGGGTTATTCACAAAAGGGTGAAGAGTTTGCAGAAGACAGGAGAAGTGAACAATCTAGGACAATATAGCTGATTAGAGGGGGCCGACAAGGACCCTAAAGCAATCAGCAAAATAGAAGGGGAGCCCAACACAGGATCTAGTGAAATGCTATCCCCGGCTGAGCCACAATTTGGCTGTGTGGCAAACTTACTATGGACCCCATAGCTGCAGTTGGAGCTGAATTCTCCAATTCAGCTCACTTTCCAGTTCAGCTATGTTGTCCTAGATTGTTCACTTCTCCTGCCTTCCCCAAACTCTTCACCCTTTTGTGAATAACCCTGTAAGTTATGCCTTAGGTGAATCGAGAGGGGCATTGTTCCTTTATGACAGAAAGGAACAATGTTGATCGGGACAGGTTTTTTAACTTGTCTGACTAAACATAATTTTCAAGTGCAGTCATCTGTGAGACAGCAAAAAGCTGGATGGGAAGACATATCTTATTTATGGTTAGTTTTTACCTTCACATTAAATTTTATTTCTCAGTTAGCCTGTTCAGAAGTGATCCAATTTCAGTATTTCAGGGAGCGGCTATAGCAATTGGATTGTATATAAAGCGATATCCACATATAATTTTGTTATATATGATATAAAATAAATGCATTGTGTGTGTGATATGTTAATAAAAAAGCTGGAGGGAAATTTTGTGATGTGATAAATACTTTCCAGAAATGGGTTTACTTGGCATAAAAAATGTCATTTCAATCTGTTGCAAGTGAATACAAACATAAATTATGAATTTGTGAAATTTTGTTGGCATGATATTCTGACATCTAGATTTCTGTTTGCACTTGGTATGGGTAGTCTTTTTTTAATGCTACAAGTTTATGTTGGACTTTTCCGTTTAGTTTTATTTAATCTCTTTCCAGCACTTAGTGGTACTGTTGCTGGTGTACTGTTTTCTCTGTGCTGTTAGCCTATAGTCTGTTGCCTCATATGTATTTTGTACCCCTGTCTTCTCCTTTGTTGTCACTCTTAAAGCCCAACTTTGGGTACAACAACATTACCTGGGATAAAGCAAACATTTCTTACCCACAAAAGTAACCTCCTGGCATGTGGGCTTTCTTCTACATCTGGCAAATCTGCTTGTTTACATGCTGGAATTAGTACAGCTCCACCTGTATTTCTAAGCAGCATCGACGGTGCATGGGCCCGTGAGTGGATATCAGGCCCCGTTCACACCAGGGCGGTTCCGCAGAGATGAACGATCAGATACATAGCTATGGGGACCGTTTATGCGACCACGCGGCTCAGTGCAATCCGAACCGCCCCCTGCCCAAACTGCTCCATGACCCTTTTTTGCTGCGCAGATCAGTGAGGTTTCCATACAGCTTTCAATGGAACCGCGCTGATTAGTGCAGCACTGGGCGTTTTTTTTCCCCAAAACCACCCTTTTGAAATCATCCGCAGCCGCCCTGGTGTGAATGAGCTCTTAAGAAGTAGAATGGTTAGAATTCTGATGTTTGTTTTGTAATCAACCGACAAGAAGGCAGGTGGAAGATACTAGACAAAAAAAGTACTGTCCAATACTGGAACCTCTACTGATCTCTGAGACACTTACACTGGAAAATGGCTTAGTACCAAGCCAACCATATGTCTAAGTTTCTTAAATAGCTGGAAGGGGCTCCAAGACGGGCACATACAAATCATGAACTTGAAATCATGATTTTAAATTTATAATATTAAAGAACAACTATAGGAACATGCAAGCACCACCAAGATTCAAAAATCTTATATCCATTAATATGAAAATAGGTATTACCGAAAGTCCACTAAAAGCAGACTATCCTAAATTCACTATCATGTTGTTATCTATCCTTGCCCAAACAATAAGGATATGTTCTGGATAATATATTGTGGAATCTTAATTCTCATTTACTAATATTGAATATTTGTCTTGACTAGACAAAGTACGAGATTAGCCAAAGACTTAAGATGGCACTTTATGTAATAAATTGGCTTCTTTTAGCCCTGATTTGCCCAGAATGTAGAAACTAAATGCTAACAAGCATTTAAAACCCTGCTGCATGTTATGCACCTCTTTTAACGTACATAGTGACTGTATAACTGTGGCTATTGTCCCTTATGAGATACAAAAGTACCAGGAAGTTGCTCACTCAGCACTGCAGCCACGTTCAGAGAACGCCTTGTACTTTTTTTTAACTCAAAAAAAGGTGTTCTCTTATTGGACAAGGTGGAGAGGAGGGGCAGATGACATCACAATCTCCGTCTCAACCAATCAGATATTTACTGAAAAGAAAAAAAAAATACAAGGCGTTCTTTGAATGGTGGCGGTACCAAGCAAGTGATTCCCTTTTCTTAGTATGCAGAGAGAAAGCCACTGGAGGTGTAGTTGGAAGATCACAGTTATCACTGTATGTAGAGTTGACTACTACAGTGATGTTTAGCATCTCCAGCTTCCCCCTGGATATCAGATATGGATACTTACATTGAGCCAAGCTGGACCGATGTAAGTTTTCATAAAAAGATTATTCCTGGAATTCAGCTTTAAACATTTATTAATTTAAGATCAATTAATAAATGAGAATTCTTCATACATTATAAACATTGCTGTTTTTTTTTTCCTTTATTGGATCTCTAGAATATATCCATATTGTTGGGGACAAGAATAGAAATCTAACTGTAACTTCTATGTCTCATAGGGGACAATAACCACAGTTATACAATCACTGTGTACACTGAATGAAGTGTATAACATGCAGCAGGGTTTTAAATGCTTAGCTTAGATCTGTGGTTCATGACCCAAAAGTGGGTCGCAACCCCGTGTTCAGTGGGTTGCCACGTGCCTTCCACTGCACTAGGCGAGAGGCTCCTCAGCCTCATCAGTTTGTGTGCTGAGCAGCCATTCAAAATATGCTGCCTGGTGCGAAGTGTCAGCTTGAGGTGGGGTGGGCTGGGGGTATGGCTGCAAGGGAGCTCCATCCAAACGTGCATTGCTTACAGCTCCCTGGTAATCCCCGTGCCTGGAGTGATGTCACAGTCTGGCTCCCAACACCTCTACAGGGCATGCAAGAGAGCTCTACGAGAAATGCACATATGGATGGAGCTCCATTACAGCACAGCAGGGCACACTGGACCCCAGGCTGAGGATCTACTCCAGTTCTCATAAGGTAGGAAGACTGGGTGTATGTGTGTGTGTGTGAGAAATGTGTTATATTGTTTCTGTGGTTGTGTGTGTCTGTCAGTGTTTTTGAGGGCCCATTCACACTAGTACAGTGCGTTAATCGCACAGTCCCATGCGATTAATGCACTGTACCTCACAATTGCACCTACCACGCGTTCTGCTGCAGAAGGTGCATTGAGTTGCCATTCATTTGAAAAACACCCCAAACACACCCACAATTCAATTACTGGAACATGCGGTACTGCAATGCCGTGCGTTCCAGTGCATTGAGACTTGGTTGTGACTAAAAGTAAAGTAAAAAAATGTTTTCCGTCCCCCCCCATGTTAATGTTAGCACTTACCTTAAATTATGTCTCTTAATCCAATCTTCTTTCCTGATGTTTGCATCTGTCCCTCCAGCGATGCGGCGGCTCTCCGATCCAGCACCGACTCCTCTGTCCCTGCAGGCACTTCCGATCCCGCGGTGTCTGCATGCATGTGCACGCGTCAATAGACTTACCTTGCGTTTCTATCTCCCGGCCGAAAATCCGAACTGTGCATGCGCCCGCCCCAAATGCTTTGCGGCCGCCCGAGCAGTTTCGGATTCTCGAGCGATAGCACGCAGCGATATTGAGGTAAGTTTTATGCGTTTTTAATTTTTTAACTTTCTGCCTATATCTACTGCTTGCTAGAACCCCTTTAATGGCCAAGGACAAATGTGAGGCCTAAGGTTACACAGGTTGAGAACCCCTGACTTAGATTTTTATTTGTTAGTAATTTTTTTCCTACATTTTGGCCAAACCAGGTCTAAAAGAGCCCGATTTGTAACATAATGTGCCACCTTTAGTCTTTGGCTATTATCGCACTTTATTTACTCAAGATATGCTGTCAAGTACTACTGTATGTTGCACTAGTGTTTGATAGCCCTCTTACAGTACTTACATATCCACAAATGGTAGATCCTCCGTACCAACGTCCTGTGCTGTGAAGGGATTTCATCCTCAAAATTCTGGTAGAAGCAGGGACGCAGACGGATGAACTTCGGCAATGGAGGGAAATTATTTTCACGGTCTAGGATAAGGTACACAAAAATTAAGTCAAACCATGCATCGTTCTTTCTGAAGTATTAAATGCTTAGATTGTCCATTAGGACTGATTGTTAACTCAAAACTGTGCAGACTTGCAAATATGGAGTAATCTTACCAGCTGGTAAGTGTGCTGGGAATTTTTTGTATTGTTTGTTTTGTGAAATGCTTTTTCCACGTGCACCTTACTTTAAAAAGCTAGTTAAAAATTGATAAAAGCGGATACCATTTTTGTTTTTCTTGCTGGTTTTGGTGCAGGGACAGGCTGGAGGTCTTCACTGAGGTGTGCTGGGCTTTTAGTGTGTTCCTACACCTTTAACCCTTTCGCTGCCAAGGACGTACGTCGTACGGAGCTACAAAAACTCCTCACTCCCTTCCCTTCTGCAGCGCATGGCAAAGCTTTGTGACGTGCGTTGTAATATTTGTGTTGCAATAAATATACGCCTGTATCATTTTATCACAACACAAACACCAACACAGTGTGAAAACAATTTTTTAACATAAGTTCATTTTTTATAGTTTTGCGTACCGTGATTTTTTTACCTTTTCGCAAAAAGGCGCAATTTTAAATTTGCAAATATTTGTTATTTATTAACTCAATACAGTTTTATCTTTTAGATTTAGTCAAAAAATTAAAAATTTTTGTGCGCTGATAGAGATTTTAGTGTGTTTTATCAATTGAATTGTGTATTTTTATCGGTTTAATATTAATTTGAGAAACATTTGCACAATTATCGCACGGCCTACAAATTTAGTATCACCATCTTTTTATTCTACCAGGCCTGCGCTTTCAGAAAATATATGGTTTGGGGGGTCTTTTACAAACGCTAACAACGCAGCAGTGGAAAATCAAATCAATGGGAAAAGTTGCCGGCATCTGGAGCCTCTCAACCAAAACAATTTTTTACATAAGTCGATTATTTACAGTTTTGCATACCTTCATTTTTTTACCTTTTCGCAAAAAGGCGCAATTACAAATTTGCTAATATTTGTTATTTATTAACTCAATACAGTTTTATCTTTTAGATTTAGTCAGAAAATAATTTATTTTGTAAACGGATACTGATTTTGGTGTGTTTTAACAATATTTTTATCGGTTTAATATTAATTTGAGAAACATTTGCGCAATTATGGCAGGGCCTACAAATTTAGTATCACCATCTTTTTATTCTACCGGGCCTGCGCTTTCAGAAAATATATGGTTTGGGGGGTCTTTTACAAAACGCTAGCAACGCAGCAGTTGAAAATCAAACCAATAGGAAAAAATTGCAGAAAATTCAAAAATGGCTTGGCCAGCTGATTTGAAAAATGTTCCGGAGGGCTTGGCAGCGAAAGGGTTAAGGAAGAATGGAATATCACCAGGCATACCTGCTATCTATTTATTAATTGCTATATACGTATGTTCCAATATGGGAGCTCACTAAAATCTCTGTTTTTAATACATATTGTTGAAACAGAGTAGATTTTGGTGTGTTTTACATGTGAGAAATATACGTCTTGTGTTCAGTGGCGCCGCTACAGGGGGGAAAGGGGGGGCAATTGCCCCCCCTAGGTTATCACTTGCCCCCCTGTGTGCCCCCACCGCTAACAGCCCGACGTCCCGACGCTAGCGCAAGGCAAGGCGGGAGAAATGGAATCCCTGTCCCAGCAGATAACTGTGCCCGGGGCGGTAATTACACCGTCCCGGGCACAGTTATCTGCAGGGACAGGGACTCCCCTGATAAGACTATAACTTCAATACAAATTAGTAAACTAAAATGTGAGATTGCAGTCCATCACGGGATCAAGCTTAGAGTAGTGGCTACTTTACAACACATACACAGGGACCATGGGGAACAAAAGTAGCCACCCTCCAGAAGGAAGGACAGTGTCAGCACAAATTCAAAAGATTATTTGAGGCTCTACAGCCGAGTGATACACAAGTAAGCTACATTGCTGTTAATAGGTAAGCTACTTGAATGGATTTTAAAGATTTAACTCCTGAGTTTAGTGTCACTTTAAATAAAGACCCAGGTAAATGAAAAACAAATAGCAACATCACACAGAAAAGAACACTTTTTACCTCCCATTCTTCTAGAAGTGACCCAAACTGGTTAGCTGGAACATCTGGAAAACACACAGCATCGTACATAAATTTTGGTTCTCATTTAATGTGAACAAAGCTGTTTAAATTAAACATGAGAACATAGCTTGTCTCAATTGTTTAATTATATTACATTATAATATTTTTTTTCAGATATGCCTAATTTCATCATAGGGGTAACAGGCTAAAGATGCATGTATACATAAGCAGGCTAAAGATGAATGTATACATAAGCACACAGTCAGTCACTGGTCAACACTTCTCAGGGGGAAGGAGAATTTAGAAAACCTCTTTCTTTCATTTGAATGATATCCCATTGTTGAATTAGGATTAAAGGGGACTTACAGTGTTGGCACTCGCTTTGTCATACTTGGCTGTGAAGGGTATATGTTGTAAGAATTAATGTTTTGCCCAGGTTGATATTCATGTTTCAGATGATCCCGTTTCAGGTCAAGAAGGATTATTTTAAAATACTGCAGACTGAGATATCCAAGTATGTATGGAAACCGAGAGTCTCTAGAGAGGTGTTGGCATGGCCCATGGTGGATGGCGGTTTGGCGATCCCCAATTTTAGGCTTTATTATCATGCAGCTATTCTTACTCGGGTTGTAGATTGGATATATGCATGTCAGACTAAGCAGTGGGTGGCCGTGGAAATGAATTCAGCGATCCGGATTCCCAGACAGTTTCGGGGCCTGTCCTCGGATACTTTGCCTCTGATGAGGTCAACCTTGGGGGTTTGGGATGGTATTTTGTTGAAAGCTGAATGTCTGTACAACTCTCCTTTGCTACCCTTGACTGGTCACGCATATTTTATGCCTGGTAAATGGGACAGGAAGTTTAACGATTGGCATGTGGATAAGCCTACCTGCCTCCATCACGTGCTTAGGGGCACGGTATTGGCACCAGTGGAGACCCTTTTAGATCCTAATTCTTTGATATTTATGGATTATTGGCGATATTCACAGTTACAGCATTTTCTTGCATTGCTCCCTAGACCATTACGATCCTTAAGGCATCGGAGTCCTATTGAAACTATGTTTCTTTCAAGTAGTAGGCCGGCCAGGTGTATCTCCCACTTTTATAAAATTTTGTTGGAATTTGGGAGACCAGAGCTTCCCGATTTTTTGACTAGATGGGAGAGGGACTTGGGCAGCCAGCTGCCTGTTGAACAAAAAATTAAAAAAGGTATTGGCTTTAACACATACCTCCTCGATGGCAGAGATGAATTATAAATTACTTACCCGTTGGTACCTCTCTCCGTCTAGAATGCATGAGATGTATGGTGATTTTTGCCCCTTGTGCTGGTGGGAATGTGGACAAAGGGGAACTATGGCGCATATATGGTGATAATATACAGTATCTCACCGAAGTGAGTACACCCCATATTTTGTAAATATTTTATTATATCATTTCATGTGACGACACAGAAGAAATGACACTTTGCTACAATGTAAAGTAGTGAGTGTACAGCTTGCAGATCAGTGTACATTTGCTGTCCCCTCAAAATAACTCAACACACAGCCATTAATGTCTAAACCGCCACCAACAAAAGTGAGTACACCCCTAAGTGTACATGAAATGATATAATAAAATATTTACAAAAATGTGAGGGGTGTACTCACTTCGGTGAGATTCTGTATGGTGGACTTGCCCCATACACAGGGATATGGCGTCAGGTGTGGACTTATATTGAAAAAAGTATGGGTTCTCATATTGAAGATGATCCATGGTGTATGTTATTTCATTGCACTATAGATTCTGCATTGAAATATAGATGTTCATTGATCCCTCATCTACTTAATGCTGTGAAAGCTCGGATACCGCAGTATTGAAAGGTCTCTATACACCCTTTATATCAGTGGTTTGAAAAAATTAACAACACCTGTAATATGGAAGAGATGGTTCTAACATCTAGGAGGACAATATAAAAGATTTTATAAAATATGGGCAGGGTGGTTTGAATAAGAAAAATGCAGATTATGGTTTTTTTTGTGTGTGTTTGTCTTTGTCTATGTAGGGAGTAATTATATATTTGTGTATGTGAGGACAGTTAAGCTAAACTAGATGGGATTTAAGGAATGTTTTCAAGGATTAGATTGTTTAGTAGAAGAATAAAAATAATTATGTAATTGTATTTATTTAAATGTATATATCGAGCGGAAATGTCTATGTTGGATATGCTGTCCAGATGGAAGTCTGTTTTGTATTAATATGTAAAAACTTTAAAAAAAGAATACATAAAAAAAAAAAAAAGAAAACCTCTTTCGAGTGATGTAATTTCCTGCTGATATAAGTAGTGCTTGAAGACTGCCTACTTGCTCTCCTCACTCCCTTCCCTTCTGCATATGAATAAATAAGCCAAGTTTAAAGATGAAAATTTCCAAAAGAGCACATCTCGAAGAAATTCTTTAAAATATATTTAACTCAACCATAAAAATAAAAATACATTTGTTGATCATACAGTACAGGCCACAGGCAATTCATAGACAACTGATTCATATGCAGATATCATCAGGTGATTGGACATTGGTCAGAGCTCAATGAACCCCTCCCACTTATTATTATTATTATTATACATGATTTATATAGCGCCAACAGTTTGGGCAGCGCTTTACAATATAAGGAAGACATTACAATTACTATACAATTCAAGACAAGATGGTAAGGAGGGACCTGCCCGTGAGAGCTTACAAACACTTCAGGAAATCCTCAGTTTTTTGTCAGTGACCTTAGGTGATGGACATGTTTCTTTCTTTCTCCTAACATAATGTGTTTAGTCTACCTTACAATGTGTTCAATCAAGTTTCTTCAACTGCACGTGGCTACCTCAGCAAAAGTGCAGTTTCTGGATCAGCCGCCCATGGCGGGAGCTTCGGGGGCCATACCTAGACCCTGCAAGGACAGCGTCAGAAGATGCTGAGGATGTTTCTTTCAGCACTGGATCCTGTGTGAGCACCCACCTTGACACATTTGCGCAGTATGCTCCGTTAGCTGCAAGGTGCTTAATAGGTCCAGGGCAGTGGCTATCCACATTAGTTTGACTCCCTAGGCTGCACAAACATGCTCAGTACAGGCTGGGGTGGCCAACTTGCTAAGCCTTGTGTGATCCAATAAGGATTTTGCCACCGGTTGCCATCTTGGAAGGGGGCATTGGTTTTTTAAAATCCATTTCCAACAGTAAACATAGTATGTTTTTGAGGTGCAAGGGCCACTGTAACTACTGTGGGGACCCTTGTTTAACCCTTTGTGCTGGTATTGCGAGTACCCGTTGTGATCCCTCACCATGGCAGGCTAAAAATGCAAGGGACCTGGGGACACAGGTGTGACGGACTTCCTGATACCCTGACTGGATATCTCCGTCTTATGGCTGTTCCCTGGGTGCTGGAACCAGAAGCAAGTGAATATAGCATGTGCTTACCCCAAGAATCAGACAGCACTGACTTTGGAGTGGAAGCATGAACTGGTTTATTGAAGAAAGCACACAGAGTTTATACCTCACAGAATCACATAAGAGTTTAGTGTGTTACATTGAACAAATCCCACCCCCAGACAGCCGGGTGCCACATTGGAATTCCTTAAGCACAGACACTCTTTAAAATTAATGTCCTTAATTAGATAAGAGCTTGATCACATCACCCTAAACAAGGGCCACTCCAGACATCCTGCTGCCTTCACAAAATGACGTTTAGCAGAGATGGTATCCAAACATGATGGAAGTCCGGATGGTTCAAATCAAGTCAAATAGTGACATGCTCTCTCTAGATAAAATATTAAACAGGAAAACACACACAGCAAACAAAGTTCTCCGTGTTAATAAATCTCTGCAGCCCTAGGTCCGTCACAACAGGGAAAGTTATCTCTGCTGCTGCTAGGGCAGGGAATTATTTCTATCACTCCTCCTGGGGACTCTGTACTTGATGGTCTGTCCGATAGCCCGTCACTGGGTTCACTGCCCTCCTCTGATGTCTGTCACCCCATCAAGGGTACCTCATGCCCTAGCAAAGAGTGCTTTGTGGCCACTAGATCTGTGTTATGGGTCAGTTCACCTTGAGGCCTTGTGCTAACGAGCCACCAGTTTTTAAAGTAGGAGGAGCTCTCTGGGAAGTATAAATGCATTCAGATGCATTTAGCTGCATGAAACCAGGCAGCATGGTTCAGTGACACAGAAAAATAGGATTTTGGTACTCACCGTAAAATCCTTTTCTCTCCGTTCATTGAAGGACACAGGGAACAGATCGGAGATCCTGTACTGTAGGGTAATATCGCCACCTGCAGGAGAAGGACGCTAGGCACAAAACTAAAGACCAATCACAGCCTAGGGGCGGCCCCTGCCGGTGGAATGTGTCCTTTAATGAACGGGAGAGAAATTATTTTTTATGTAAACGGAGCTGCGTTGAATGAACATGGATGATATTAAATGTCTAGGTGTGCATTCAGCCATGTAAAAGCATTGCATGCTTTTGGTGTGTTTGCAAATGACATCCGGGTGCACCTAGATTCAGTATTTTCACATTTGCCATGCGCATGGGGCCTAATAGGTGAGGCTAGCTGCAGAGGACGCAAGCATATTCCCCCTCCTTCATCTCCTCCAGAGTTGGTTTCAGATGCAGCTTGCTACAGCTTCTACGCCTGAGGACAAGGAGGAATTTATGTGGAGTCAGTTCCCTTAGGAAGTGACCTGTTTCCTACACAGGGGTTGACGTTTTCTCAGACTGGCAACATCCTGGTAAAATATACAGTATACTCCCCCCCCAAAAAATGTTTTAGGCAGCAATACCCACCAGATGAGTGTTCCTCAAAAACTTGGTTGTGCTGGTAGATGCTGTGATCTATTGCCTTAACAGATGGGTAATGGAGGATGTCCTGGCCTTTAAAGACCCAGTGGATTAATGCTTTGGAAGCCTGTTGGTGGCTCCTTTTTTCTACTTGGGCCTACCATGCAGCAGGCAGCCACCCAGATCACTGGTACAAAACGAGCAGCGGCTCCGCTGCTCTACAATGTAGAAAAAACAATAACACC